GCTTGAACACTCATATCTGCTTTCTCTTGGAGCAGTGACTGACAAAGGATGTCAGAGCACAGGGCAGCACTTTATATACAGTCGAAGTCTCTGCAGCTCTGATGGCACATGAGAACTAAATATGGATACCACTTCCGCACTGAACCTTAACTTAGATCATCAATGTTGCAAATATTTATAGATTCTGTTACGAAGCCTGCTGCAGCAGGACCCACTTCTCCATGGTCTATGTGACTACAGCCCTTCCTCTACTTCTCCCCTGCAGCAGCATGAGTTGGGCAGGGCTGGGTTGAGAAGCCTGCCCTGTGAAAGAGGGGGCAGTGATGTGAACACACAAGCATGGGGCCTTATTTCTTACAGGTAAATCACTGGGCTTTGACTAGACAGCCAGCAATCCTAAAACACATCTTCTCTTGTTAAACTTGTTCTGTCTCTAGTTCAACTGGAGGAAATTGTCAAAATCCTAGAAAAACTAAATGGAAATGGAAGATGGAAGTGGTTGCTTCACTACAGGGAAAATAAAAAGCTAAAGGAAGATGTGAGGTAAGACGTTCATGGAAGGTGAGGCCCGGGGCAGGTGGGGAACCACTGAGTTCACCTGGAAGTGTTCCCTGAGCTCTGGACCAGCATTGGTCAAGTGCTGCCACAAGGTCATAGACTTGCACAAGATCTTGAGGGGAAAGTGGCTGAGCACTGAGGTTGGGGAAAGGTGTATACTTAGTCGAGGAACCAAGGGAGCAGACCTGAGAGTCAGCGCTGCCAGGGAGGGGCAGAGCCCCCACAGGGCTTCCTTACGAGAGCGCTTCAGAGGGGAGGCGAGGAAGGTTCAAGATCAGGAGCAAGTGGAGACCAGATGAAAGGGGAAGGAGTATGACTAACTATAGTGAAGACAAAAAGTCTAGAAATAAAACTGAAAATTAAGATACAGGAAAATAAAACCTTTCACAAACTTAGACTAATCTAAATTTAACATTGTATTTTTCAGAGTGGATTCAATTGCACATAAAAAGAACTTAATATTGAAATCGTATCAGAGTGCAAACATCATTGAGCTGCTTCACTATCACCAGTGTGACTCTCGACCATCAACCAAAGCTGAGCATCTGAAATGTCTGGTGAACCTGCAGGTTCAGCACATCCACGCCAGGTTTGCTGTCTTCCTGACAGGTAATTCACAGCCTTAGTGCTACCTGATTGTCATCAGCCAAGAAATGGCCTTCCAGGTGGAGTCACCAGCAGCCTGAACACACCACACACTACTACTGGGGCGAGTAGAGCAGATTTTATTTCCTTAGATAAAGGTCTATTAAGTGAAACCATCTACGGTTTTAAAGACTTAAGGAATGAAGGCCCATCAATGGTTTTAGCACCCCATCCCTGAGGCAGCTGACCCCAAAGTTTCCAACTTTGTTTTTCATTTGACACGGGCTCCTTCTTCCCCTCCCATGTAGTTTTTATGAAACGGATTCTGCTACTTTAAAAGCTGTATATACATTAATGAATTGTTCACCAAAACAGTTATTTTTCTTTTTACAGAAAAGCCTGTGGTCTCCAGAGAAGTCTTTGAAAATAGTGGCATCCTTGTGACAGATGTAAATGACTTTATTGAAAATATACAGAAAGTAGCAGCTCCATTTCGGAGTAGCTACTGGTAAGAACACTTCCCAAACACTCCCATGTGAGCCGGAATTGACAGAGGTAGATACCAACATCTGTGTCTATGAGAAACCAGTTGCTCAGAAACTGTTTTGTATGTTACATATCATGGTCTAAATTTAAAGTGTTTATTTAGGGGTGGAATTGCTGCTGGTTTGGCATAAAGGGGACTTTCTCAAGTATCACTAATGAATAACTACTTTCTAAATGATGAATGTTTTCACTTGCAGACAGAAGATAATGTAACCTAGACTCCTGGATATCTTCCCCAGTAGATAGCATCCTACTTATGGAACAGTTCTTGGTTATTTTGTTTTAAAGACAGAATTATCAATTTTGTATTTATCCAGGTGGCTCAACTGCAGCTTACCTAGACATCGACGATGCCGACAACAAATTAGTATTTTCCCTTTTCTTTGAAAATCTTTGAAATCTCAAATCAGTGTTTTGCAACCTGGGGAAATGTTTTCCTTCATGTTTTACACGTTGCTAGAACGACTTTGTTCACAGCAGCACTGTACTTATCATTAGCTTTGGACTGCAGTGTTCAATATTATTTTCATTTTGAACAGAATGCTTTCAAAGCTATTAATTGAACTTAACATTAAAAATAAGAATTTTACAAGTGTACTGAATTGTAGCAAAAAATACACCTATACACCAGTAGCTCTCTTTTTGCATGTTAGGGTCAAAATGCATCTGTAATGCATGTGACAGTCTGTTTTAAAGGTTTTACCACATACAATCTTAAGTGGTTATATTTCCTGTTAGTCATGCTACACTACATGAAATTAAGTTTTTTCCTAAATGGTACAAATTTATGAACTGTCACTTTTCACTTACTCAGTTTATGTAAATACTGCACTACAAAATCAATCCTCTGAGGAAGAAATAATCTTTTATTTATATTAGAAATAATTTCTACAATAATCTTTAAAACTCAAAACCAAGCAAAGAACATTTGTATGATACATAGTATCTATTTGGAACAAAGATTTTTGTAACTAATTTTTTTTTAATAAAGACAACTAAAAATCATACAACTGCTTCTGCAATGACTTTATAGTAAAAATTAAATGTTAAGGAAGATTTATAGCAGTTTAAATTTTTTAGGCCACTTAGAATAAGCTGCTTCCACAGGAATGCTCCCACTTACCTCACTGTGGTCTCATTCCTTTGGCCTCATCCCCACAGACCTGCCTGGTGCTCCCCTATCCCAGGTGTAGCTGGCCGGAGCAGCAGGATCCAGCAGGGGACAGCTCAGGACCGCCCCCCCACCCCCAGGCCTGGCCTTCTTGGGGTCACGCTAGGCCAGTCCCTTAGGAAGTCCTTTACCTGCTTGATATCCTGCCCCCACTAAACCCAATGTGCTAATAACTTCACTTGTTGTCTTCCTAGGAGGAGGAATACGATCAAATTTTAACTGTGTTTATCCTAGCTCTTAGAAACACAACCAGTTAATTTTTACCCCAGGGACAAGAATCTAGTAAGAGAACCATAACTGAATTAGGTACCCTGAATTAATCAGAAGTCACTACAGAAAAAGAGAGCATGTGCCCAACACACACCTGCCACCTGCCCAGCGTGGCACCTCCCCTGCCACCACCTCTGCTGAAGACAGCGGCCCACAGGCACCTGCCAGGCCATCTGTCCTGTGACTGAGGGCTGAGCCAGGCCGAGAGGGTGGGTACCCCAGGCTGAGCTCTGGTACAACTTCGCCCTTGGCAACCCTGTATCCACTGGCCTGGCACCAACATATTACTGTTCAATAAATATGCTGAATGCAGAACATGAAGACATGCTGGTGCTGTCTTATCACTAGGCTGGCGGGCACCTCTGCTGCATTAACAGTTCGGTGTGAATTACTGTGTGACAAGGGGGTGGCCTGTAGGAATTTTAGATAACTCTCTTTAGAGAGGGCAGAGGTTTCAACTGGGGTGATCGGGGATGTCATCCAAGGAGGTGCAAACCGTGTGCAGGACAAGCCCCGCAAAAGTGGGCAGTGTGAGACTGAGAAACTGAGCTCAAGTAACCACCTGGGTAATCTAAGTTGTTATTACCCTAAATCCTTTAACAGAGCAGAGCACCTACCTTAGTCTGTGTCCTTCATACTCATCTGTAAGAATCAACACTCAGACCAAGAGAACAGTCACAATGTCCTCATTCCTCTGATGTAGTAACAGCATAAAGTAAGGCTCGAACTATCCAGAGGAAAGGGGGTACCATTGAAACTATGTGCAGCAACAATCTGAAATAAATGGAAGTATTAAAGCACCTACTCCACTTGGCAGGGTCCGCTATCTCTCGTGGAAGAGTGTTTCTAAACCGCTACTTGGGATTCCTAGGAGGATCTGATAAGCATTGTGTCAGGATGTAATTCAGGGTCTACTCACAGTGCAGCCTGATGGCGGCGCTCCACCATCTATGGGGGGTCTTCTGTGCTTGTCCCCACGTCTGATTCCAGCTCTAGTGAAGGAGATGAGCAGCTTGTCAGGCCAATGCAGTATTCACTAGCTCTGAGTCGTCAGGACACAAAAGACCAACAAGAGGGAGATGGTTTCCAGAGTCTGGCTTTATTTGCAGTACAGAAATCATTTGGAGACATCACTGAAGCAGAGGTTCTGTCAAATCAATACTGCGCTGCAGCTTGGTCCGTTGAAGAAGCCACACCTGGGATACAGAAGAAGCTCCTACGTTTACCTGCTTTATGATGGGTTTCTTTCCCCTCTGCGCTCATCAGTTTTAATAGGTTAAAACACCGCACACAGGCTTCCTCCAAAAGACTCTCCAAGTCTGGAGTTTGGTTAGAATTGGAGGCCCACGTAAAACCAAGCTTGTGGCTGGGCTGGGTGGGCACTGTCCTGACACATGACGTGAACGGAAAGGGGTGGGGAGGAGTGAGGGACGCTGTCCCCAGTTACAGACATTCAGTTCTGAACCTCCTTACCATCAAGAGGACAAGATGGCACGCAAGCTGCACTGACCCAGCTCTTGAGCAGGGGAAGCTCATAACTGCAAAGGCTACACTGATTAAAAGATACAAATACTGTATCAAGTTCTCTGTATCAGTATCACAAGGTTTTAAAACTGATCCTTCACTAGAAAACACAAGCCAGTATTGGTTAAATTGAACAGAACGTGGGAACCTGCCAATTCGGAAGAGCCACTCCATGAAAACAAGTTAATACATGATATTAGAAAGGGGAGGATTATTTACTGGTACAGTGTTCTGCAATCTCTCAGTTTTGATTACAAAAGCAGGCCTTACAATACTGATTTCATACAATATGCATCATTTGCCAAATTTTAAGTTTGTCCTAATTAGATGATAACATGTACTGCTGTTAGTCTTCCCCATAGATGTCATTTTTCTTGCGTTTCATTTCCTCAAAGTCAAACTCAGATCCCGTCATCCTCTTATAGATGTCCTTAATGTCATCACAGGTTGTCTCAAAGTGAGTTGTTGCATCATAGGTACGGGATATAAAAATCTGGAAATGAAAATCACAGAGACTTGAGACTTATCTGGTGACATCGCCCAATGAAGCCTGGTAATTACCCTTTTCAGATAGCCACTCACCTGGCTTTCTGTTCCCAAGTCTTTTGGTACAAGGAGGTCACTGATGCTAACGAATCTGGAGGGGAGAGAGAACTCAGTCAGCAAGGGAGCTGACGCGCCCCTCACTGCTGGGCCTGACACTCAAATCCCAGGCAAGGAGGCTGGGAAAAGCTGATGGCTGCGCTCACTGTTCTCAAGGGTTCAGTTCACCACGGAGCCAGGCGGTCCTGGGTGTGAGCTGGCATAAACAAACCCAGCACTTACTTCTGCTCAATTGGTTCCAAGAGCTCCAGGGCTGGTCTGATTTCCTTCTCGGGCTCCTTGGTCTCCACCGTTGTGCTGGCGATGGCAATGTACTTGCCCTGTGCAGCCACATTGTGTGCGGAGGAGATCATGCAGACGTAGATATCTGGAAGTAAGCAAAGCCACTACTGCCAGGCCCTGTGGACATGGGGCCTGGGTGTGCACTCAGCTTCACCCCAACTTTAGCAAGCTGTGAGTTAACATTACTTGGGACAGACTATCTTCTGAGACAAGTTCTATATGGAGGCAAACACAGTCGTACACAGAGGATGCAAATATTCAGCCACTTTGAGCCTACTGGAGATGAAGGAAGGGGCCACGTGGCGGGGAGTGGTGGACGTGGACATGAGTCTGCCCGACTGCCACAGCTCACTGTGGAAACCTGTCTCTCCTCTCTGAACCCTGTATTTAGAAAGGTTCTGACTAGCTAAGGTGGGGTTTAACTGATTTCTCATTTTTTTTAAGCAATATAAAATTGCAAACAGCATAAGCTACTCTTATGTTGACATAAGCTCATAATAATTCCATACTTGTCTGTGTAACACTAAAGTACCTACATAATTTCCAATACAGGAAACAATTACTAGGCTCCCCTTACTCTCTTTTTCTTATTCTTTTGGCTGTGCTGGATCTTCACTGCTGTGCTCAGCCTTCTCAGAGGCTTCTTTTGTTGCTGAGCATGGGCTCAGTTGCTCTGCAGTATGTGGAATCTTCCCAGAGCAGGGATCAAATCCATGCCCCTGCATTGGCAGGGGGATTCTTAACTACTGCACCACCACCAGGGAAGTCCTCACCTTGACTCTCTCCCAGACCCTGAGATCTACTGGGAACCCTTCAAAGATTACTTTAGTCAAAGTCCCTTTGTGATCTACTGGGAACCCTTGAAAGATTACTTTAGTCAAAGTCCCTTTGTTTTAGTAATTAATAACCTGTGATCTGATTTCTTACATGGAAAAAAAGAATACAGTTGGCCATTTAAAGGTTAACAGTTCCTTTTAAGTTGAAGTTTTTATAAATAAAAGCTTCAGGGCTCTAACTGAAAGGAAGACGGGAAAAGCTACTAGATGAAAACAAATGGCTAAAGCAAACAGATGCAAAATTATGATTTCAGAGCTAAGTTGTGATCTTACTCAGAGAAATCAGTTTTCTAGCACACTGCTAAAGGCAAATACAAGTATAGATATCGACAAATCATGACATAAAATTAGCACTGTCATCAGCCTAAAAGTTACAGTGAAATCAGGTCAACTAATAAGCATAAACTCCCAGAAGCATACAACGTTCAAAGGAGAGTGACAGCACACTCATAGGGTCCAGCTCTCGATTCTACAGAGGAGGGAACGGAGGCCCCAAGAGGTGGGTCCAAGTCAAGGCGGGGCTCCTGGCCTAACGTATCCATTTCAAAGTGATGGTTTAGGAGTTCTATGAGCTAAAAGGGATCCATCACATTTTCCATGTGTAAAGTTTCTTCACTCTAATAGAACAGATAAAAGCTGCAATTTATGCAGACATTGCCTGACCTCCATGACGTACCTGACTTCCGGTTGACTTGGTTCTGTGGAATAATGATCTGGCAGGAGTTGGCATCGTTGGTGTTTTTGATGGGGTGGCTGAGGATACAGATGACTCTGATCACCTGGCCCACTTTTTCTACTCGATCTTTCACATAGCTGGGATCACAGATGAGCTGCTTACAGCGAGCAATCTGCAACAAAAAACATTGAAGACTTTCTAATACTCAGTGTTCATCACTGTTTTTAGAAGGTATAATGATGCCACTATTCCCTGAACATCATCTGTTATCTTCATCAAGTTAACCACAGGTAATTAGTGAATTAGAGATAATTATTAAAACTAGCTTTGCCAACTATCCCTAAGTTCTCCTGGAGCAAATCTATGAATTTTAAATCTTATTCAAATAGAGAAAATGTGTTGCATGGTGTTCAGACATATAAGCTTTAGAACTGGGCAGAAGAGGGTTCACATACTGCTAGAATTAAATGAAACTGTTCAAGGAATGTCATTTTATGTGAATGGACCCAGTGAGAAATAAATGCTTTATAAATGGTACTAATATTACAAACAGACCATAATCACTCTCATTTTAAGACTACTTCCTAAGTAAAATTTAAGTTGCAAGATAATTTATTATATTGCATTATTATATTATTGCATAATAATAGTATTGTATTATTATAGTTTTCTTCTTTACATCAAAGCACTGAAATGTCCTAAGAGGAAGCAGTTGCCTAAAACAAAGTAGAATGAATAAAAAGAACCTTGAGATATCAGATTAAAATATTCACCCCTATTTCCTAAACATCTATTATGTGTATGCTGAAAGCACAAGATAGTTACAAAAGCTCTACAACAATAAAGGGTCAGAGGGTCAACTAGTGAGTATAGATTATATGGTCTGAACCCATGGAATACAATCAGGAATCCCAAAATATTTTTTTTAAACATAGTTTTTGAGTTTTTTTAACAGTTCTATTTGTAAAAGTTGATGGTTCATGAAACATGGTCTGGTTTGCAGATCAATAGCAATGGCACCCCCTGAGAACTTGGAAGAAAATGAAAACCCACCACAGAACTACTGAAAAAGAAATGTACTTTAACGAAATTAACAATTTATATTCAAATTTGAGAAACACTGTTCAAAACTCCTGGCCAGTTCCATGGCTAAACCCCAAATAATAAATGTTCATGATAATTATTATTGACATTATTAATTGTATTAATAATAAACAATAAAACAGTATTGGCCAAGCCCCATTTCAACCAATAAACTGTAAGTGGCACAAATAAAGCTAAATTTAAATGAAAATTTGGGAGATAGGCCCCAACCCACACCATATAAATAAAACTTACCATTTAGAGTGCATTTGTAATTTGTTTTAATATTAAGCAACAATCCACACAATAGAAAAAAAATTTTTAAACAAAAGCACACCAGTAATTAGTTTTCAGTCATTATGAACACCCAGTTACCATAAAGAAAACATATGTGGTCTGAAATCCGGGATCAATGTCCATACCAAGTTAAGTACTTACTAGACAATAAAGTTTTCTTTACAAGAATATTTTTAATTGTAAAAGCTACTTACCTCTCCTTCAGATTTTACACCAATCACCTTTCCATTCTGCATAATTATTTCTTCAATTGGTTTATTCAGCATGTAGGTACCTCCATAAATAGCACTTAGCCTAGGGGGGGAAAAAGTATTTACAATTAGTAATTTATAACTGTTTAAACTACTAGTCTCCTTTCTTAGACTTTCATGAATAATAGGCAATATTTGTTCAATTTCCTTCCAAAAGGCATTCGTTTAAGTCATTAAAGCATCAATTCTAAAACAGTCAAAACCATGTAAATGGTGTCTCACATTCAGTTATGAATGTAGTAAAAAAAAAAAAAAAAAAAAACCCCACACTGACCAGTAACAAGAGAACAGCTTTATAAGTCTATTCCTCTTGCATATAAATAAAACTCTGAACAACCAAAAAACGATCAGGAAGCACTGGATACTGACTAAAAACAGGCAGAAACTAGACAAGAGACTTGAAGCAACTGCATGAGATCTTCATGTGGTCGGTATGGCTCTTCCCCTGAAAGAACCAACCTCCCAGTCCACAGGCTTACTGATTTAAGTTGCCATAGACAGAATGTGGCCTGCACGAGGAGATAAAAATTGTGGGAAAAAATTCTTCCAAAATGGGAAGCAGCCAAATTACAAAATCTCTTCAAATCCTTAAGTAACTCCAGAAATGCTTATACACATGACAGACTCCCAAGGAATCCATTAAAAGCAATAGCTGAAAAGCAAAAAGACCTGAGCGGAGACCACAGCTACAGGCCATAAGGATAAATGAGTTTGATAATGCCATATTAGAAGAACTTAGTACATTTCTTGCACTTTCCAATGATATCACGAAAGGACCACAACTAACTATGCTAAGACTAAGGATTCAGCCAGACAAAAGACCCCCCTACCAACAAAGTATAAAATCAAGCCTCCAAAAGTTCAAGATGAATGGTCAATAAGTTAACTGCAACTCAAAATAAACTCATCGCAGAAAGAATACAGCATCTCTACAATGTATACCAATCAGTATGTGAAATAGACATATTATAAAATAACTTTTTTATATAAAGATTACTATATGCATGAAAAAAAGAAAAGCAAGCAAAACAGATGCCCAAATTACTGATGTTAAAATATGCGGGGAGTTAAATGCAGCTACTTTAAAAATGTACAGGGACAAATATCCTTGTTCAAAGATCTGTTCAAGAATATTACATATTCATAAGTCAAAATTAATAAACAGAAAACCTCACCAGAAAAATGAAAACTATATTTTAAACATGGAAATTCTAGATCTATTGAAAAAACTTGAAAAAAATTTTTAAAACTCACTGTGATTAACAGCTAATCAGAAATAACAAGATGTGCAAAACAAATGAACACACCACAAAATTACACAAAACAAGCTCATGAAAAAGTGATCAACATTAGTCCTCAGAAAATGCAAATTAAAATTATAATAAGATAGCATTTCACACCTGCTGAAAAAGACTGACAATACTGAACGCTGGCAGGGGTGTGGAGCAACCAGGACTCTCACACTGCTAAGTGTAAGCAAAATGCTACAACCCCTCTGGAAAGTTGTTGAGCAGTGTCTCATCAAATGAAACATATATATGCCATATCAACCAGCAATTACACACCTGGACATGTATGTACCCAGAAGTGGCAACTGAGGTCCATACACACTGTTACAAAGAAGTTCATAGTAGTTTCATTCGTAACACCCCAAAACTTTTTGAAAACTACACAGATGTCCATTGACAGGACAATGTGGTACCTTCACACAGTTCACATAATGGAATACTACTCAGTATTTTTTAAACAACTACCAGCACATGCATCAATATGGATGAATCTCAAAAATACTGTTAAGCAAAAGCCAGGTAAAAGTGAGCACATATTCCTTTTATATAAACTAAAAGGAGACAAAAGCAATCCTTGGTGATAAAAATTACAAATGCAGCTATTACAGTGGGGGTTGGGGTGACTATGAGGAGATACAAAGGAACTTCCTGAAGTCCCACACCTTGACGAGAATTTCAGTTACACAGGTCTATGTATATGTCCAACTCATTTTTTTTAAACCATAGATCTATGGTTTCATTGTATTAAGTTTTACTGCACTAAAAATAAAAAGCACCTCCCTACCCTCAGATACCTTGTCTCATTATTCACAACCATGTCTCATAAGCTACCATTTAAATTTAAGATGCAGCTCAGGATCAGAGGGGTTTCAGCACAAAGTTAAAGGTGGGCCCTCACCGTGCAAATCCCTGTGGCAGTTCTCCAAGGCCGTAGAGTGGATAAAGGTACGGGCTTTTGCCATATCTTGCCAAAGATTCGCTGTAAAGTTTAATCCTATTAATGGTTTCACAACATGGCTGATCTAAATAGCTAGACAAAAGGAAATGAACATTAGAAAAGTGCTCTGGTTTGCATTCCTCTGCTCAATTTAAAATCGTTTTCTGAAAGGATTTCAATTCAATACTTCCATATTTTACTTATAAGGCTCTAACACTAAACTGAAGTTAAAACTTCTTTTTCATAGTATAATATAGCTATGTACTTGTTTTGTTAGAATTTGCACTCTGCACAATTGGGAAATTCAGTGAAAACTTCCAAGAAAAATATAAATCTAAAAACCAGAAGACTTACTCATCAGTTCTGTAAAGTGCCAGGGCATGACCAGTAAAATCTATAACATCTTGGCCCAAGTCGAATTTCTTATACACCTCTCGCATTGATGTCTTCTTAGGATCAATGCCCTCAAAAGTTCGAGGATCGTTCTCATCAAAGTTGGCGACATATACCAGGAATTTTCTGAATCGACGTTTTTCAAACAGCCCCATTAGGCCTAAAAAAGAATTTTTCAAAAAGACACACTCACAACAGGACACTGAAGAAAAGAAAGTATGAGAGCAAAGTCTGAATATCCCATGTTGCTATCTTAGGCTCTTGCAATGCAATGTGCAATTTAAAATACAGGAGTTTGGAACCTTTAAAATAAACTGACAGTTTCATAACACTCTGAAATAAACTGTCATAATTAGCCCCTAAACTGTGTCCAACTCTTTTGTGACCCCATGGACTGTAGCCCGCTGGGCTCCTCTGTCCATGGGATTCTTCAGGTAAGAATACTGGAGTGGGTAGCCATTTCCTCTTCCAGGGACTCTTCCCAACCCAGGGATAGAACTAGAGTCTCCTGCATTGGTGAGCGGATTCTTTACCACTGAGACACCTGGGCTTCCCATAATTACAACAGATCAGCTATTAAGTTTTCAATTCTACAATAAAATTACAAGTAATTATAACCCATAATTAATTAAATGTAACAAGTTTAATTATATTTATTAGGTACAAATACAACTTTGAAAAACTATTACTCATGAAGTAATCTATCTGAATGTTCTTTTCCACAACTCTGATCTGTACTCCAACTGCCTAAAATTCTAAATGCTCATTTTTTTCTTTTTCTGTATGCTAAGATACACTCTGGCATTTAATAGAAAAGCAGCTTAGATACCGAGAACAAAATGAGCTCAGAGAAATTCAGATGCTGGTTACACTTCCAATCACTTTAATGAAGTCCTAGATAGATAGGCAGCTCACTGCTTTTTACACTAAAAAAGAGGTGAGGAGAAAGCTATGAGCCACCATGTAAGAAGCCCTCAGCTCCTCCTACCAGTCAGGATTCCCAGTGCTGTGAACAGCTGTTAGAAAGACAAGGTCGAAACAGAACAAAGTTTCCTGGGTCCCTCTCCTGCTGCCCCTTTCTTAAACCATACAGCTACTTTAAAAACAACTGGAGCTTTACATAAAAATTCTTAACCATTTCTTTTATATCCACTGACAGTTGAATATGTTGATACTTTAAACATTTTCCCCCAAGACAATAGTTGAAATCAACAAACCTGAAAATTAAAGTGATCATGAGACAATTTATGACACCTGACTACATTTAACCTTTTTAATTAATACTTATAACTTAGCTTTTAAATTTTAAAAAATGGACAGAATGCATACACAGTAAAAAGCATAAGGCTAAAAAGAAATAGTCTATTATGCTACTTAAGACACAAGTATAGCCATCAGGGGAAGGCGTGAGAGCCAAAGAAAACACAAGTCACCACTCCAACACACTTACAACTCAGGAGTCCCTCTGGTGGACGCATCTGTTGGAATCTAGAGCTCTTACCAATAGCTAACTGTGGAGTTACCGCATAGCATCTTCTAAAATAAAAATGAAAATCTACTGTGTTTCCTTCAGTTCCCCATTCTTTTCTTTTCTCTTCTTTCCTCTTGATTCCTCTCCCCACCTCCTCTAAGCCTTGAGCCTGACAGGATCCTCTCCCAACACAAAGGAGCCTCTCTAAGCTGCTCCTCCAGTCCTCACATCAGAACCAAATCCCCGTGTGATCACCAACATCTGAGAGACCTGAGGCTCACTCTGAAAAGGTCCTCATTTAAAAGATTCATGTAATGTTTCCTACAATGTAATTTTTATAACAGCTACTTCTATATGATGACGCCTTCACTGGTCACCCTATTTAAAACAGCAGACCTGCCCACACCCTCTCCTTTCATCTCCACCACCATCTGATATGTTTTTATATCTGATTATATCACCAGCTGAAATGCTTTTCCTTATCATTCACAGCCAGCCTCCCACTAATGGAAGCACAAACCGGAAAGCACTTCTGTTTACTTTATCTCCTCTGCTGCACCCTCCCTACCCCGGACCTTCTTAGTCGGGTACCTGCTGTGTAACAAGTGCCCAATAAATATTCACTCCAACTAATTTATGTCCAATGGGAGTGAAGATAAAAGAAGTTGACATTCATATACTGGACACACAATATATAAAGAAAATACTCAAATTATATGATAGAGACTACAAAAACTCTTTTTCACAATTAGTCCGTTGAGTTGTGCATTCACTTCATTTCAAATGGGTTTACCTTCTCTCATGCACTTGCACACTGAGATTTATTTACCAAAACAGACACCTATGTCAAGACAAAAGCTACAAAAATCTAGAGCAGTTTCAGTAAGAGAAAAGGAAAAGCATTCCAATTAACAGGTGTAACATTTGACAAGAGAATTAAAAAATGGAGTAGAATGAATGTCACAGGAAAAGCACTGAGACACAGCACACGACGCGTCGTTCCAACGGTGGACTTCCACAGCCTCACCCCAGGTTGCAGCTGGCCCTGCGGCAGGCATACCTCCTGACCACCAGGAGCCCCCGGTCACTTGGCTCTGTGCTCTCAAAGGTGCCCCTGACAGATGCCTCACAGCAGGAAGAGTGAGAACAAGCAAGCTAAAGATTCAACTGAGGACACGAGGTTTTGCTGGGCACATTTCAAAGCTACTCAGGAAAATGTCTCAAAAAGTATCTGTGTTCAACATTACTCTAGGAGCCAAATATCTTTCTCATTTACTTGACTAAAATATTTGACCAATGAACAAATACTTATTGGAACCTTGAGGTTTTAGTTGGCATCATGACCTACCACAAGAACCAACATTATATACAGCTCCTTAAAAACCCAACAAAAACTTAGGCTTCTTGTTGTTGTTCAGTCGCTCAGTCCTGCTTGACTCTCTGCAACCCCATGAACTACAGCAGACCAGACTCCTCGTCCTCCATTATCTCCACCTAGGCTATGTTAATGGAAATATATTGGCCAAGGAAAGTAAAAGTTCCACTGAAACTGAGTCGGCATACAACATTTGAAGCATCAGGTCTGGTCTGGCTCAATTCTGTCATATATACGGTAATCTCGGCAAGTCAGAATTTTCAAAGAAAAGTGGCCAAGAGAACTAGACAACATATTATATAAGAAACAACCACAGGCACTGGAAATGTGCAGCATAGTGCAAAAAAGAATTCGAGGGTGTGTGCCAGTTATTAAAATATCTGAGAAACTATGTATTTACAAACTACATGGACTTCCCTGGTGGCTCAGATGGTAAAGAATCTGCCTGCAATGTGGGAGACCTGGGTTCAATCCCTGGATCAAGAAGATTCCCTGGAGAAGGGCATGGCTACCTACTCCAGTATTCTGGCCTGGAGAATTCCATGGACAGAGGAGCCTGGCAGGCTACAGTCCATGGGGTCATACAGTCCATGGAGTGCAACACAGAGGGGAAAAAGCATTAAGAGGTTGAGTGGCAGCTGTTAAAATATCTGAAAAGCTATATATTTACATACTACATAGTTCAGTGGTTAAGCGTAGGGTTCTTGAGTCAGATAAATGTGGCTTCAAACTAGTTCTCACCAGTCATGAGCTATGAGATTCACGGGTTCTTTCACACCTGTATACCTCAGTGTTCCCTCATGTATAAGCCAAGGATAGCACATCTCAAACGGCTGCTGTGAAAGGCTATGTAAAATCAACTTTGACAATACACACAAATAATTAGTGCACAATGCCTGTACATAATGTTAGCTATTATTAAAGTATAAACAATGGTTTTATCTTTCTGTTGAACTTCCCACCATCTACACGTTTCCTATCCTGTTTATTCATTCTGCCTAGAACTGACCTTCCTGTCATTCCACCTTCAAAATCCTATCCATTAATACAAACAGTTGACAAATAAGACAGTGATTTAGCAAAAATTCATAATAATCTATGTTGAAACAGGTAAATCCTAATTGTACGTAAATTAAACCTCAACAAATCTAACCTTAAAAATATACAGATGAAATTAAAAAAATATAGAGAGAGATGAAATACATTTGCTTATTTTTGGAAAAAGAAACACGAGGATAAATCAGAAATAAGTAAAAATGACCACCTAACAAAGTGGAAAGAATGGAATAGCAAAGGTAATAACAATACTCTAAATGTATCTTTTAATATAACTTTGACTTTCAAGTCATGTAACTGTTTTACATATTTGAAAATATTAAATCAAAAGGGAAAAATAAAACTCAAAAGGTTAAATCCTTCAACCTTTTTTAAATTAAGGAGGTGGCTGAAGCTATTAATATAGGTAAGAGCTCAAGAGAGTGTAAAACTTTTAAATAAAAAATCATACCACAAACGATGTTTAAAAGAATCTTCAAACTCTTGGACTCTGATTTCTATGAGGACACTTTATTTACATCAGATTCATGTCACTGACAAGACTGATTTCTAACCCAGGCTCACAGCAAGGACTCCGTCCACTCAACCAAGAGCCGCTCCTTCCTCACCACCTGTCACTCCCAACCCAGCTACCATCCTTAGTGCTAGTTTCTACTTTCTAGCTAGAGTGTCTTTCAACACTTTAAGCCCAATATTTTCTCCCCTAATATTAAGAAGTAAATAAATGGAGTTAGAGGAACTGCCAAAAAAACAAGGTTTTTAGGTGAGAAATCTTTCCCACTCTTAATGCCAAAATAATTCATGGAGAAATTACTGGCACTTTTCCTGTTCTCCAAAAGCAAATCTTTCCCTCCTCTGAACTCCTACAGCACTTAGAAAATTTATCTGCCCTTCAGTTATACACACTTATCCTTCCTCAAACTGCTTATTTCTCATGGCAACAAAATCACCTTAAAAGGACAGAAGGTCTTTTCTAGGGGTGTTTGCTATTTAATAAGACTCAGAACAGAAGATGTTAACTTGGAGTCTTTCAAGAGCCAGTAGAGGAAGTGATTTGGGGCAAGAAATAAAATCACTCCATCCTCACTGGGAACTCCTAGGAACAGAGATGCTGGAAGAGGGGGCACAGTACCAGGGACCAGACATGCCGCCAGGACAGCAGGCGGGACAGTAGCACTGGCAACCAGCGCAGACGGCCATCAGCTCACGGGCTCTGCAGCATCCCACCAGGGTCCCTGTGCCTTTGGGCCTCTCACTTCCTACGTCATTTCAGGCCTGAGGTTTCTCACCTATAAACTGGAAACCCTACCTCACGAAGGCTTCACAAATCAATAAGAATGTGAAGCGTCTCCCACAGAGCCTAGCACATGGGAAACACTCCACGAGACAGCGATGTGTATGAATTATTCATCTGAAGAGAGACCCTAGACCCAAGAAGGCCCAGCTTCACCAGCAACAGGCTCCCAGATAAAAGCTCTCCAGGCTTCAGAGGAGAAGGCACTTTTGAAAATCTTGTTTACGGACATATTGTCAACTGCTGAGAACAACATCTGGCACGTAACAGACATCCGTTGACTGTGTTGACTGGGTGAGTGAGGGCATGGCCAATGCAGGAGACTTTGAATTTTATCCCTAAGATCCCTTTCCATTATAAAGTCTTAATATTCTGTTAATATGAAATTACTTACTAGATGCCAGGGCTTCTGCTTCAGTGGAAGGAACCTTGTAGATCTTTCCTCCCTTATAAACAAAGCTCCCTTCTGTCACTTTGAAATCCAGATAGCGAGTGACCTCCGTAAAAAGCAGCATCTTAACCAGCTGACCTGTAGGAGTCACATAATTCAAACTGTTACTTACATCTTACTATTTTCAAAAGTTACCAGAAAGAAAAGTAGTTTACTGATACTAATGGCTTTCCAATTTTTTCTTAGCATCGTCCATTAGCTCCTACAAAAGTCCCCAAAGCCATTTCTAATAGGACAATCAGAATGCAGACCTATTGTTTGGCAAATTTAGCCTTTTTTTTAAATGTTACAACTTCAAAGTGAATAACTTTATCAACTTGCTTTTGTAAAAATTATACAATAATTATTAGAAGTATGAGGTTTAGAATCACAGTACTATTACAATTAGGTCTGGGTTTCTTTAAGGTTCCTACTGCATATTAAAGAGAGGCAACTCAGGCAAAGTTTTCCAGGAATTTGTGTTTTTCAGTTTCTAAGTCAATTTATATTTATTGAAATGAACACTAGTTTTGGATCAAGAAAAATCTAGGATAAACCAAAAGACATTTTGGTATACTAGAAGTAGTAAACTTCTTTGAGAAACCAAACAAAATTATTTTAAAACTCATTTGAAAGGATAAACATATAAGGACAATCAGAAAAATTCTGAGAATAAAAAAGAGTAATGAGGAGAACTTTATGCAGTCAGATGTTTCAATATACTGTAAATTAATTAGTCCATAAATCAGTATAAAACAGAGACTCACATGTAAGAATTTAATAGATGATGAACGTTTCCTAATCAGAGTAGAAAAGATATATGATGCTGAGGGACAACTGATCAGTCAATCTGAAAAACAAATTTCTATCCCTACTTCTCAAATAAAGGGGTAATAAATTTATTCATTCAGTAAAATAAATGAATTATTTATACAGTGGAAAAAAGAAACCATAATACCATTAGAAGGAGCTATCCGAATTTGAAATTTTAAAGATAGCCTTTCAAATCAAAACCAGTAACAGAATGATCAACCAATGACTGCATGAAAACTAAAAGCTTTTGTACAGAAATAAAACACAAGAATTATATATAAGGCCAATGACAAACTGGAAAAGATACTTTCAACATACTTTAAAAGGGCATTTAACAACCTTTATAATGAGCTATTTTATTAATAAAGAAAAACACAAAAATGTCTACAGAAAAATGTGCAAAGCAGAAAGCACTAAAGGGCATGAAAGCCAATGAACTCTAGAAATCATTTCATTCTCCAGTAAGCAGATATATATTAAAAATCCATTATTCCATCTTTTAGTATGACAAAATTCACAAAACCTAAAATGAATCACATCTGGGCATGGTAAAGGTACTGGAGAAGCGGCAGTCACAGTCTACCAGCGAAAGTAAAATTTGGCAACATAAAGGAAATGTCTTGAAAGAGCCCTGCCTGAATCCCCATGCTATACTTCCTAGAATGGACAATGAGACTTCTCTCTTCCACCCCCCAACCCCACCCCACTTCCATCCCTCCCTCCCTCAAATATTCACAGTATAATGATTGAAAAAGATGTTAACTGGGAAGGGGGGGAAAAAAAATGGTGGATTATACACCAAAATATTAACCATGTTTCAAGATGATAAGATTTTGGTTATGCAAATTTTACTTCCTTTCTGCTAATCTGTGTTTTCTAATTTTATTTAAGTAATAAACTTTTTGTATTTACAATTAACCTCAAGAAAATATTCAATTATTTAACTTAAATTCAAGATTAAATTCAAATAACATCTTTCCACTGAAACAAACTATAGAACACAAATTCCAAGGGGGAAAGGGTGGCACAAACATTTTCATGGGACATAGACTACAATTTAGCTTTTCAACCTCTTAGAAAAAGATGCTAAAATCATAGCAATTTATAGATACTTAGCTGCTCTAATTAAAAATATCAACAATTAAAATGAAAAAATAACAGTGAAAGCCTACAAACTAGAAAAATATTAAAATGGATGTTTCTGAAGGCCCAGTTATCTAAGACTGTCACCAAGTATCAAAGGAAAGTCTGTTACAAACACAATTTTGAGGGGTATGATGCCAGAGCATAATCCTGTTTCTCCAAACGAATTACTGATAAGTCAGTGCCTCCTCCCTCCATTCTTAACGTACTGACCCTTGAAGTCTTTAACGGCCCCTATTACTCACCATACTGTTCCATTCAACAAAATCCACTTCCACCTACCTGGAATAATACTCTCTTAAGAGTCAACAGCTACTTTCTACTTTCAAATCAGAGTCAATGTCCTGTCACAAATTTAAGTTGGAATTCTTTACCATTTGCCATAAGGAACTTGGGGATTAAGTCAACATTCCAGTCTCTTCCTCTGCCCATGGATGCTGGTGGAGCTCCGGGTATCTTAAATCTTTTGTATAACTAAAACCAAAACAAAAACACCCATAATGTGACAAAATTTAACTTTCATTATGCAACTATTTTTGATGAAGTGATTCTGATATAGCTAAATACCACCAACATGAGGTAAAGGACAACAAGGGCATTTCATTTTTAATCAGGCCACTTAGTAATATTCTAACACATCCATAAATTAAATACATTACTAACTAATAGATGGTAAAATAAATATTGCAGAGCTGGTGTGTGTCTGCTCTTTACTAGCAAGAATACAGAACAAACTGTTACTGAAGTATTAGTTCTGCAAAGTTTGAGGCTCTAGATAAAAAGCAGCTTGCAACTTAAAATTTAATATTCACTCAAACTCATGAATCCTACTGCTAAGGTGGAACAAAATAAACAAAAGTTTCACTCAATAAAAACCCCAAGTGAGGGTGGCGGGGGGGCGGGGGGGGGGGACCCAAGTTCTCACATATATTACAAAAGAGAACAACTCAATCAAAAAATGGACAGAGGATATGAACAGACATTTCTCCAAAGACACAGATGGCCAAAATGTACACGATAAGATGTTCAACAATCAGAGAAATACAAATCAAAACTACATGAGGTATCATCTCACACTGGTCAGAATGGCCATTATCAGTAAGTCTACAAATAATAAATGCTGGAGAGGGTGTGGAGAAAACGAATTCCTCCTACACTGCTGGTCAGACTGTAAATTGGTAAGGCCACTATGGAGAACAGTATGGAAGTTCCTTAAAAAACTAAAAATAACTACCACAAGGTTCAACAATCCCGTTCCTGCCTTTTCTAAATCCAGCTTGTACATTTGAAGTCCTAGATTCTCGTACTATTGAAGTATAGAAAAACGTGGTTAGAAAGGATACATTCACCCCAAAGTTCCTTATACCATGACTTAAAATAGCCAGGACCTGGAAACAAATGTCCATCAACAGAGGAAAGGATAAAGATGTTTTACATATACATGATGGGGTATTATGCAGCCATAAAAAATGTTGTTGTTAATTGTTCAGTCATTAAGCCATATCTGATTCTTTGCAACCCTATGAACTGCAGTAAGCCAGGCTTCCCTGTTCTTTACTATCTCCCAGAGTTTGTTCAAACTCACGTCCAATGAGTCAGGGATGCTATTGAACCACATTCTACCGCCCGCTTCTGCTCTTGCCCTCAATCTTTTCCAGCATCAGGGTCTTTTCCAATGAGTCAGCTTTTCACATCAGGTGAAGCTTCAGCATCAGTTCTTCCAGAGTTGATTTCCTTTAGGATTACTGGTTTGATCTCCCTGCTGTCCAAGGGACTCTCTAGCATCACAATTGAAAAAGAATCAATTGTTTGGCACTCAGCCTTCTTTACAGTAAAACTCTTCACATCCATACATGATTACTGGAAAAATCACAGCTTTGACTATACAGTCCCTTATCAGCAAAGTGATGGCTCTGATTTTAATATGCTGTCTAGGTTCATCATAGTTTTTCTTCCAAGGAGCAAGCATCTTAATTTTGTGGCTGCAGTCACCATCCCCAGTGCTTTTGGAGCCCAAGAAAATAAAATCTGTCATTATTTCCACTTTTTCCCCATCTATTCGCCGTGAAGTTAGGACCAGATGCCATGATCTCACTTTCTGCATGTTGAGTATTCAGTCAGCTTTTTCATTCTCCTCTTTCACCTTCATCAAGAGGTTCTTCGGGGCCTCTTTGCTTTCTGCCATCAAGGTGGTGTCATCTGCGTATCTAATGTTATTGATATTTCTCCCAGCAATCTTGATTCCAGCTTGTGCTTCATCTAGCCCAGCATTTTGCATGATGTACTCTGCACATAAGTTACATAAGGCGGGTGATAACATACAGTCTTGAGTACTCCTTTCCCAATTTGGAATGTTGTTCTGTGTCCAGTTCTAACTGTTGTTTCTTGTATAGCATACAGGTTTCTCAGGAGGCAGGTAAAGTGGTCTGGTATTCCCATCTCTAAGAATTTTCCAGTTTGTTGTGATCCACACAGTCAAAGGTTTTAGCGTAGTCAATGAAGCAGAAATAGATATTTTTCTGGAACTCTCTTGCTTTTTCTATGGTCCAACGGATGTTTGCGATTTGTTCTCTGGTTTCTCTGCCTTTTATAAATTCAGCTTGTACATCTGGAAGTTCTTGATTCTCGTACTGTTGAAGCACAGCTTGAAGGATTTTGAGTATTACCTTTCTAGTATGTGAAATGAGTGCAATTATACAGTAGTTTGAATACTCTCTGGCATTGCCTTTCATTAGGACTGGAATGAAAACTGACCGTTTCCAGTCCCGCAGCCACTGCTAAGTTTTCCAAATTGCTGGCATACTGAGTGCAGCATTTTAATAGCATCATCTTTTAGGATTTTAAATAGCTCAGCTGAAATTTAATGAAATTTGCAACAACATGGGATCAGCCAAAAAATAAAGAAAATATGAAAAAGAATGTGTGCCTATGGATATAAACATATGTGTAACTGAAGCATTCTGCTGTACAGCATAAATTAACACAACACTGTAAATCAACTATATCTCCATAAAATAAAAGGGCACTAAGCTTTGGAGTCATATAACCTGGGTTCTCTCAGCCCAGCTCTGTGATTGAAAGCCCACAGAAACTATTTGCCATCTGAAAACACAGGGATAAAATCTTTTGAGTGGCTGTGATCAGCACTGCTGTGTGTCAGGTCTGCATCAAGAAGTAGCCCCCATGCACCCCATCCAGCCTACACTCTATTACCTCCAAGAGAAAACAGGTACCTGCTCTGACTGACAACAGAGGGGCTACGGAACATTTCTTCTACAAGCCCCCAATGAGGAGCTCCCAGAAATTATGACGCTACAGATAATCTATTAAAAAAACAGAACTGAAACCATCCATAGCAAGTAGAGACTCACGAGGAAAAGACTCGAAGCACAAAAGGCACCTTCATTCACTCTAGTACTTACATCTTCCAGCGGTGTTATAGATGCACTCTCTCCTCCATAATACGGGTTTCTATCCATGTGAAGAACTTTCTTCCCATTCACTGACATTATACCTGACAGGATACATTCCTACAGGGAAAGGATAAACATCTTCAAAGGAAGGAAAAGTGCTGTAGCATGTTTCAAACATAATTTTTTTAATAACCCTGTCATTAAACATTCTTTTAGTAATTACTGCTTTTTGTACAGGCAATGTCTGATGTAACTTTAAGGACAAACCCCTAAAACAACCAGAGTTCAAAGTGTGGTCAGTGGACTCCTCTGGGTCCCAAGGTTAAAACTACTTTCTTAGCAACACTAAGACATTATTCAGTTTTTCCCACTGGGTTACATTTGCAAGAGCAATGGTGGATAAAATGAAGGCAGTGGCTCCAACTGCACTAGTCATCATATTCTTCACCACAAGGCACTCACAGTTTAAAAAAGCAAGTCTTCATTTAAGACTATCCTTTTAAAAAAAAAACTATCCTTGATGAAGCATAAAAAGTCACCTCTGTTAAACACCCTCAAACACCCATCTTTTAAATATCCTGTGTAGCAAAATGGGAAGTATATATAAAGCAATGCTGGGTCTAGGAAAGCCTTTTGGGTGACTGATTTATAAGCTGAACTAGCTATGTTTTTCATGGATCATCATTTTTACTTGGACAAATAACTGACTGACAAACTATGATTACTCAGACTTAAGTACTGGGCAGACATTTTCACAAAAATGAATGTCAAGGAAAATTAACTGATAGTGTTTGCTGCCAAAAACAAAAGTCAAAAATCTTTATTGAAAATTTGAATTTTGGGAAGCATATCCATACCAGGGGCACGTCAGACCCTTTCAGACAACATCAGTGACATTGCATGCATCCATGCTAAGTCGCTTCAGCCATGTCTGACTCTTTGCGACCCCACGGACTATAGCCCACAAGGCTCTTTTGTCCTTGGGATTCTCCAGGTAAGAATAGAGTAGGTTGCCATGCCCTTCTCCAGGGTCAGTGACATTAACGAATATGAATTTTTGATATCGCACAATGAAATGTGTCAACAATTCAGAAGATCTGCAATACTTAGTAAACTAGTACTTTTCAAGTGACCAATGATGTTACAAAATCAAACAGTGGGCTAAAAGTGGAATTCAGAGTTCAAGCTAGATTAATGTATTTTAATCTAATAAAGTATACTATGTTCACTGATGTGGTTTCAAATTTCATATTGCAAATTAATCTTTAAAAAAACTTGCAACTCATGTTTTGGTATAAATCAAAGCATAGCCACAACAATCTGAATGGCTATTAAAACACTCCTCCTCCTTCCAACTACACATCTGTCTAAAGCCTGATTTTGTTCATGTGTGTGAATGTTTAAGTCACTTCTGTCGTGTCAGACTCTTTGTGACACCATGAACAAAAGCCCACCAGGCTCGTCTGTCCATGGGACTCTCCAGGCAAGAATACTGAAGTGGGTTGCCATGCCCTCCTCCAGGGGATCTTCCTGACCCAGGGATTGAACCTGTGTCTCCCTGCACTGCAGGCAGATTCTTTACCACTGAGCTACCAGGGAGGCCAAATTTTCTTCATATACTTTAACTAAGACAAAAACCATGAAAAGACTGAACACCAAAGCAGGCAAGACATTTTTTTGTTTTAGAAAACAGCTGTACTTCAAAATACTGTTTTTCACATTAACATATTATGAGTTTATCTTTTCTATTTTTAAGTGAATTAATAAAATTTTTTTAACTTCTCAGCACTGATTTCTAATAGGATAAATTCCGAGAGATACTTTTACAAACAAAAGCTCATCAGGGTCCTCAATTTTTAAGAGTAAGTAGATCCTGAGACCAAGAGTTTGAAAACTAGAGCTCTAAATGAAGCATCCAGGAACCATCCGATTGATTAAACGATCACTCTCAGAAAAAAAGGTAAATAAAGCATGAGTATACTGAGACATATCAAATCAAGATGGGGGGAGGTAGATTAAGAAAGAATCCAATTAATGGATTAATGAGAAGAAACAGAGATGGGATACACATTCACTCAAAACCATTATACCAGAGTTTAGGTGACAATAGCTTTTTTTTTTTTAAGACAAAGGTAATCGCCTGTAACTTTATAAATCCTAGTGCTTCTCAAATTTATCCAAGACTTCAGACAACAGGGAACAATCTCTTCCCCCTAGAAGCCTGATTCAGAAATCTTTATCTTAAAAAATTCATACACATTTCAAATTTTCCTCCATAATGTACTATTCATTTTACTATTTTTAAATATTTTAAATTAGTTACTATCAGGTTCAAATTTTACTCCAGGAGGGTGCATCTTTTTATATTTGGATCAAGAAACAATACATTTTGAGTACCCCAGTAGGCCACCTCTAGCCACAATCACTTCTCAGCCTCAGCCACACTCATGACTTTTAAGAGCAAAGATTTGTTTTTCCAGAGTTTCTGAACTCTGAATAAATGAAATCTTGTAGTATACATCTTTTAGTCAACATCCATGATTTACCTGCAGTCTAAATTTTCTTACTCTTGCTATACAGCAGGGGTCCCCCAGTACAGGAGCCAAACCCAGCCTGCAGGCTGTGTTTATAAATGAAGTCTTCCTTACACCCACGGCCATTCCTTTATATACTGGTTGCTTTGTACCACAACAGCACTTTAAGTTGTGTCGAAAACTACAGGGCCAGATAACCTACAATTTGACTTTGTGGACTTACACAGGTTTGCCTAACTCCACCAGCAGGGGATCTCACAGCGTGCTCCTGCCTTGGTCATCACCCGTGAATTTGTTAGAAATGTAAATTTGAAGCAGATTCTGAAAGTTCACTTTGCACCCACATCACCCTGACACTTGTTAAAAGACTGCAAGGCCCCCCACCCCCACAGAGCTTCTGAGCCAGCAGGTTCTCATGGAGCCTGAGAATCTGCATTTCTCACCAGCTCCCAGGTAAGGTTAATACTGCTGCTCCAGGACCAATGTCAAGAATCCTGAGGAAAGCAGTGCTGCTCAAACTTTATTATTAAACACCCAGGGATCATGTTAAAACTATAGATTTTGAATCCATGTATCTCGGATGAGGCCTAACCTTCTGCATCTCTAGTAAGTTCTCAGGGGCTGCAGCATGGAGCACGCCACGGTAACAGTCAGGAATCTACTGAATGACTACTGCTCACAGACACGCCACAACTACTCCTCCAGGCTACTACTGATGGACACTAGGAAAGTTTCCAGTTTGGGGCTGTTACAAATAATGCTCTATCAACATTCTCAGTGTCTTTCTTATGCACGCACTTGTTGGATATGTATCAAGCAGAGTACAAATACTGCCAAACAGTTTTTCAAAATGGTTCTACTTGTGCAAACAACATATGAAAGTTCCTGTTGTTTCATATCTTGCCCAACACTTGTGTTAAGTGTCTATTCATATTTTTTTGCCCATTTTTAAAATGGGCTCTTTTTTACTGTTATATAAAAATTCCTTATATACTCTAGATATAAATGCTTTATTGGCTGCATATACTGCAGATACCTTCATCCACAGATTGACTTTTAACTTTCTTAACTAAGGTCTTGATAAACAGAACTGAAGGTATTTTAACTGTAAAACTCAACTCCAGCATTATCCAAACCAAGTCCCTTGCTTAAAAATCAAAAGAAGCACTAAAATATGATTCAACATATTATATGAAAGTAGATGTAATATTTACAATCTCAGAAACAGATAACAGCATCAACAGAGGAAAACCAAATAGTCACATTTCCAGTCGACAAAAGCAGACTTCATGGTTCAACTTTCGGAAGCAAAATCACAGCAGCAACTTTGAGAACTGCAGAGCTTCTATATATAACTTTTCACACTCCACTGCAAGTAAGCATGACCCACTACCTGGACCACAGCTCTAAAACAACCTCCGGAGACTGAGGGCTAATAAAGAACCCAATAATATAAAGATTCCACAGTCCAAAGACCTGATACTAATTACCTTTAAAGAGCCTTGGAGCAAACATGATAAAAGCTAATTAATAAATTTGCAGGTTCACTGATTCTACTAAACCATCAATAAAAGATTGCTTTACACTGCCAAGAGAATACATAGTAGCAAAAATGTAATACTTTAAAATTTACAACATGGAATGAAGTCATTAACTCATTGATAAAACATGAATCATATTTGAGTATAGGGTATATATTCAGTTCAGTTGCTCAGTCGTGTCCGACTCTTTGTGACCCCATGAACTATACAGTCCACAAAATTCTCCAGGCCAGAATACTGGAGTGGGTAGCCTTTCCCTTCTCCAGGGGATCTTTCCCACTCAAGGATCAAACCAGGAAAATATACAGAGACTCATCCAAAATAACCAGAACTAAAAACCATCTTCAGAATCCAAGTTTTTGTTTTTTTCGATTTATTTTTTGCTATTATGCCTTGTTTATCTTTTACTTTTAGGGCTGAGAGCATGTCAGGTACTCAATATGCATAAGTGAATGAATGAATGCAGGCATGCACTAACGAGATGCACACGGCAATCTCAGGCAAGGTTATTCATCCAAACTGGGCTCAGGCCCAGAATCCAAGTTCTTTATGATAATGGCATCTTCATGCTGTCCTACATAAAGAAGTAACCAGATTAAACAAAATGGTTAAAGTTCCGTTGCAGCAAAACTCTAGTCTCTGTAGATGTGTGGGTGTGGTGATGGCCAAGAAGGACCAATTAGTTATACTGCACACAACCCCCACCTCAGTGGCTTCCTACTTAAGGGCAATCTAGGCTTGAAGAGAATAGAGCCAGAACACATAATATTTTGATACAACTTTCAAGTGACCAAACTAAGCTCCATGAACACTCTAAATCCTCCTGCATTTTAAATTTCTGGTATAATTAAAGGGAAAAAAAAAAAACAACCAGAAAGTAAAAGCAAACAAAAATGTGATCTGGAAAACAAGGTACCTAACAACTCACATTAAAGAAAAGTGCCTTTTGAAAACTACCTGTCTAGAAATATAAGGAAAATGTATTAATCAGAAAACTTAAATCAGTTCATCTCAGTGGTATGTATCTTACAGCAATAATATAATAAAAATGAATGCCAGTGTTCAACAGAATGTTTCTTCAAATGTCTGTAAAAAGTTAATTTATCTTGAAATTTGGTTCTAATTATATCATTCCTGCTCAAATCCTCTCTTACTGGCTAGAGGATGAAATTCAAACTTCTGAGCCTACTGTCTTCAACATCCTTGGTGACATGCCTTCTTCCCAACTCCCTCATCCCCTAAACATAGATTCTCTTCTAATAATGACTTACACTGCTCTTTCTGCCTAGAAAAATCATTCCTTGTGTTCAAAGCTTACCAGTATTTTTAATTTTCCAGTATTGCTCTAATTGATTTACGGCACTGTAAAGATGTAAAGCATAATGCTCTGAATTACAAACATCTTGAATTGAATACCACAGTAGGTTTAGTGAATATCCATCACCTCATGTAGATACAACATCAAATAGAAAAAATTTTTTCCTTGTGATTAGAATGCTTAAAGATTTACTCTAACAGCTTTCACTTAACACGTACAGCAGTGGTCTCTTTATCATGTTACCCATTACATCCCTAATACTTAATTATCTTATAACTAAGTTTGTACCTTTTGATTACCTTCATCTAAACCCCCTCCCCACTCTGCTTATTATGTTTTAAAGTCAGTTTAAATACCTCCTTCTTTATGAAAGTTTTTTATTCCAGTATCAGTATTCTCCCACATTTGAACTCTCTTAACAGCACTTTCTCACATTAACTCATATTACAGCTACCCCTCATATGACAAGAAGCTACTCACAGACAAGTGTTTACCTTTATATTGACCATAAATGAGCACAATGGTCATAGACATGTGAGCCACAGGTTTACCCAGTGGTCTTTCCAACCAATGTCTCACTACTACCTCAAAATGCTGATATATGTCTGATTTACTTCTACTCTACTGGACCAGTATGCTTAAGGCTGATTTAAAATACAGACTGCCTACACAGTATTTATACCTTTCAAAAATAAGACAACTGCATATATTGGTCCTGTGATCACTACTGCAGAGGACAAAATGTCCTTTGTCCACAGAACTCTAACAGCAATGGCAAAGATTTTCAAGGAGCAAATACAAAATGGCAATTCAAGATTTTTTTTAAATCAGGTACAAAAACTCTTTGACATGACAAATTTTAATACAGAGGAAAGAGGAAAAGTATGCCTGGGATATAAAACAATGTTTTAAACAAATAATTCTGAGAATAACCTGGTTAGAGATCACTAAAGTGTCTTTTTTGATTCACAGGTCCTTACGAAAATTACCATACAGAAAAAAACACAAAATAGCGCTGGGAAGCACAAGCAGCTGTGGAGCCAGCTGCCCTTGTTTTATTATGTATTACTATTTCTAAGACTGAGCACACAGTTTCTAAGATTCATGAATTCATTGCCAAGCCCAAAGTCAATCAGATACAGCAAATTAGTGGTCAGAGGATGTCCATGGTCCCCAGTCTACCCACCAAAGTAAGCAAAGAGGGGAAAAAAGGAAAAGCAGACTGTAGAACTACCTACCAAAGCCCAGCCATCTAAGAGGACTTAGTAAGAAGGCCAAAGTTCCCACAGAGCTCAGAAGGCCTCAATGGCTCCATTGTGTTACAGCAGTACTCAGTAATTAACCCTCCCAGTGTGAAATCTTGTTATCAGGTGTTCATTACATTTCCTAGTCTGTTAAAGAAGCTGTGATATCATTTGAAAGCTTTTTTCTAAAAATTATGGTTGAAGCGCCTTCTTAGCACAGTGGGCAGCGCATCAGTCTCATAATCTAAAAATTATGGTTCTTTTATCTTTAATCCCCAGATCAATTCAACTTTTCCACTGTGCTGTCTTTAAACTGCTTCGGCTGACTGGGGAAAGTGGTACTTCCCAACTATGTTTTGTGGACTCTGGTTCTGAAAAGGCACTTCTATGATTCAGTACATTTACAAATACATTCCTCACTTACTATACCTCAAAAAAAATAGTTATGGGTCTTTAAAGGGAAAACCATCAATTACTTAAAAAATTCAACTATATAGAACATTGCATTTCTCATAGATGGAATGAAGATTTTGCTCTAGTTTATAGCAAACTGTTTTAATCCTTCTTTAAAGTTACTGTCAATATTGGTGCACTAATATGACCTCATTTTAAACATAATAATCCATAAAACACAATGGCCACATTAGAAAAGAGAAACCCCAAAACTTCCTTACATTTCAAAAGTAACAAGTTAATTGCACTAAAAGTAATTAACACACAAGAATCACATAATATTCGGTATCCATAACTGATAACATAGGCCTGTTTTCAGGTTCTTAAATCTCAGGCACTAAATATTTATAAGTCTAAAATTAAGTAAATGTTATTTTCACACCAAATACTCAAATTATAAATTGAGGGTTTTTAACGTTGGTGGTCTCAAATAATCAAAGTTCTCTTATCAATAAAAATGAAGGTAAAAGATTTATCATTATTAAAATCAGCCCATCATCACTACTACCAACGACTGTAATACAACAGTAATAATATGATTGCTCTGAATTGATACAATTCTCAAAGAATATCTCGCAACAACACTCTAGGAAGGTTCACAGGAAATATAGTTATCACAGCTATACAAATGACAGCAGAAATTGCTCTGATTTATAAGTATGCACCTACCATTCATCAAAAAGGTCACAATTAATCCAAGTGAAAATGTAAATAACTTGGTTATTATAACTTGGTTGTTATACAGTAAGACTGTCTGCTTTGATACAAAGTGATCCTTCTGAGCTAGGCATGTAGAAACCAGCAGGAGGGGACAAATAGGAAAAGGAGGGGAAAAAAAGAAACAAACCTGCAGTGAAGAAGGATTTGCACTTATTTGTCCATGTTTAACTGACCTAATCAAGAGCAAATCTGAAAGACCAGCAGTAACGGTAGAAACACAGTGGAACTAACTGGCTCTAACAAAAGGCTGGTAGCAACAGTTCCCATTCCAATGGGCAAACTAAACTACTAAGCTCAGCTCAGAATCCCAATTAAGCACTTTGGAAAGGCGGGGGGGGGGGGGGGGGGGGCGCGCGCAGGCGGGGAAACCAACCCTGAAGTGGGTAGGCCTACTCATTTAGGCATCCAACAGCTCACCAAAGAAAGTCAACCCAATATCTCACATTCCATCACTCTCATCTACGTTGTACAATTTCCCAGCCAGTCCCGTCTTTTTCTGGACTGGTCAAACATAGTGAAGCATTCAGAAATGAGTATTACCCAACAATCATCATAAGTCACCATAAACAGAAAATAACATGCCAGCAAGGTATCACTGTAAGTTTCCAACAATTTTTTAATAAAAATATTAGCCAAATGCAAGTATCACAGTTTTCTCTTGTCCAGAGAAATCTAAAATAGTTATTCTGGAATGCTACCTGAAAAAAATTTTTAAATCTTGAGAGATTACAATGCGTTTCAACACATTTACATCAAATGACTCAGGACTTTGAGATCAGTTCATATGGAAAACACAAGATCAAAATCAGGGTTCATCTTCTAAAACGAAGCAGCCAGCCCCATGTCAGTATTTCAAATTTCCAAAAAACTTTTGATAAATGGAAACGGTACTGTCTTCAAATGGAATTCTTCTGCAAGATGAACTGTCTTCATTTTCTTTAAAAAAGCACAGAAAAGAAGTACAACTCCTGCCTGCGTTATCTGCAAAGTATCACCTGAAGTCCTCTGAGCAGACAGCTAGGAAAATACATTTACCACGGTGACAGGAACACCTGGCCTCTAGCAACCAACCAACTCATCACCAACTCCTTTTCTCAGGGGAAAAGGTTCAGAAGAGCCGAGGAGGGCAAGGACAGACCACACACAAGGCTGGCGAAAGCCAGGTGAGACCCATTTGAAGGAAAACTCATTTCCAATCCTATGGTCATTCAAGTGGGATTGGGAGGGTGGTTACACAGGAATCGACAATGCTTCTCAATTGGGGTGGGGGAGGAGGCTAAGAAAACCAATTTTCTCAAAAAAAAAAAAAAAAAGCTTAAGTTCACTGACCTGAATTACCTATCTAACAGCGGTTACCTGTGACTGGTCACCGAAACTGACTAGCAGCGGGGCCTGGAGACTGAGGAGGAAACGCCACCGGGCTAGGCTTCACCCTCCCCCACTCCTTTCCGCCTCCAGAGACGAGAGGCCCTCGACCGGCAAGGAAGGCGCAGCGACGACGCAACCGGGGCTTTCTCGGCCTCGCCTTCCCCAGCGACACTTGCTCGGCCCCCCAACCCGTCCCGGCACCTGCCCGGGCCGGGCTTTTGCACACCGCGGTGTCCCCTCCCCGCAGGCCCCGCTGCAGGCCCGGCCCGCCCGGAGAGACCTCTCCGGGAGGAGACCCCCAGCCTCGCGGCGCGGGGCGGGGGGGCGGGAAGGACGGGGCTGAGCAGGGCGTGCGGCCGGCCCCCTCCCGGCCCCAGGCCGCCCGGCCCTCCCCGCCCCGGGCCGCCGCCCCTCCTCACCGTCAGGCCAGTGCCCAGCACGATCACGTCGTACTCCTCATTCATGGCGGGGCTGGGCGCGGACGGAGACCCAGAGAAGGCTCAGCAGAGCTCTAGGGATCTGGGGCTGCGGCTGCCCCGAGGAGGAGGCAGAGACCGGGGGGGCGAGCGCTCAGGCCGGAAGGGGCCCGAGGGAAAAGGGACGCGGGGGCAGAGGCTACACGGAGCTGGCGAGCAGAGAGCCGGCCGCCACCTCAGACGGGAAGAGAAGAACGGGGCGGGGAAGGTAGGGAAGGCTGCGAGGGAGAGAGAGGCGGGCTGCGACGGCGGCCTCCGCAGCCGGGGCGAGGCCGGGAGGAAGCCGTCGATCACGCCCTTCCCGCTCGCTCATTGGCGACATCTCCGTCGCCCATCCGACCCGCTTCCCCTCCCACCTCTCGCGAGAAAAGGGCGGGCCGAGCCCCTGGTGGATTTCGGATCCGTTCCCAGAGTGCTGCCGCCGTGGTTGGGGGTGGGGGGGCGGCCGCGCGCAGGCCTTCGAGGGCGGGGGCGGGGTCGAGCCTGTGGCCGACGCGGGGGCAGTTGTCTGGTTCTTCACTCCCGCTCTCCAGCGGGCTCTGGGGCGCGCCTGCGGCTGCCCTTGGACTTTGGGCCCGCAGCGACCACGTGGCTGGGACTGCCCCCCCCGCCCCCCACCTCGCCCCGGGACCGCGGGCGGCCTCCCGCAGTCCCGCAGACCGAGAGCTGAAGCCATGCGGCCCGACTCCGGCTGCGGCTCGGCCCTCTGCGCGCCTAGCTGGTCCTCTGCAACTTGTCTTGCTTTTCTTTTTATTCAACCTCCATTTTCTGAAGGAAAAAGGACCCAGTGAATTTTAAGGAGTTCAGAAATCACTTTTTTTTTTTCTTAACTTCCCTCCCAATGTCATTCTTGCTTGATGCATTGCCCTATGTGCAGGCTTTGGAAATAAGAATTTAAAAAAAAAAAGACCTCTCCTTTTGAAAAGGAAACTTTAGCATATAGGGGAAGGGCAGATTTGATCGGAAGCATGTCTGCGCCTCCTGAGAGCTATAATCTAAAACAGCTGTAAAGATAGCTGACCAGCACGTGAACGGATTTAGGCCACAGAGTGTAGGAAAAGAAAGATTCCCTGGTTTTTGCCTTCCATACCGGAGCCGGCCCAGCCCTGCAAACATGTTTTTTCAGGTTTCTATTTGGCATCTCCAGCCCTGATGGCTTATGTTCTCAACCGAAAAGAGCAGATCCGGTGTTTTCAGCCTGAGTATGCAGACAAAAGAGTTGGTGTTTCCTTGAAGATTTATTCTCAAATAAGAGCTCTTTAAAGTGAATCGTGGGAGACAGACCTACCTTCCTTCACGTTTAAATCACTCTGATTCATGACAATGCAACAATTTTTACAATGTTTCTTCATCCCTACATAGAGTTTAAGAGGGTATATTATATAAGACAATGGGCCGTTTGGGGGAGGGAAGAAGAAAACTCAATGTACATCAGTCTTAACTGGATTTGTATACATTAGTGGCTAAATGAATTTCTGTTGTTCAGTGGCTAAGTTGCCTAGGTCTCTTTGTGACCCCAGGGACTGCAGCACTCCAGGCTCCTGTGTCTTCCACTATCTCCCAGAGTTTGCTTTAATTCATCTCCAAAATGAATTTTTACAAGTAGACAAAAATCAAGTGCAAAGTTACTAGACTAGTGAACAGATTGTATGTTAACTGACTTTGGCTAAGCAGGTGATGCCTTAAGAAAGTACTGCTGTTGCTAAGTAATCCAGTGTCATATATATCTAATATGTTTACAAACAACAGAAATATATGTCTTACAGCTCTGGAATCTAGAAAATATAAGGTCAAAGTTTGTCTGTTGAGGACAAACTTCCTGGTTCACCCTGTCTTTTCACTGTGCCCTCACATTGGGAAGGAGACAGGGATCTCTCTGGGGATGCTTTTATCAGTCAGTAAAGAATCTGCCTGCAGTGGGAAGATCCTCTGGAGAAGGAAATGGCAACCCACTCCAGTATTCTCACCTGGAGAAGCCCATGTTCAGAGGAACCTAGCAGGCTACAGTCCATGGGATCGCAAGAGTCGGACACAACTTAGCAACTAAACCACCACCGCCACCGTGTTTTTGAACTGACCAAAAATATTGACTCATTAAAAAATGAAAGAAGTGAAATTGCTCAGTCGTGTCCAACTCTTTGTGACCCCGTGGACTGTAGATCGCCAGGCTCCTCTGTCCATGGGATTCTCCAGACAATAATACTGGAGTGGGTTGCCATTTCCTTCTTCAGGGGATCTTCCTAACTCAGGGATCGAACCTGGGTCTCCCGCATTGCAGGCAGACGCTTTACCCTCTGATCCACCAGGGAAGCCCTGCAGAACCTTTTTCACATATTGCCATCAGCCTCTGCATATTGAAGAAGATTTTACACATATCTGCTGACTTGTGTTGCCATGCCTTATGTGAAGGAAAGTTTATCAATACTCACATGGAGTTACTGAAAGACTCAAAGGTATTGGAGAAGGAAACAGTATTTAAGGCTAATAAGGTTCCTCAGTCTGATCCCTTACACTTTAGTTTTGTTGGTAGATAAGTCCTGTGGCCCTGCAGAAGACAAAAAGAAAAAGAAAAAAATGCTAACCTTCAACAGACTGAGTCCATTCAGATTCCACCCCACCTAATCCAGTTGCCAAGGAATTTGGGAGACAACAAATATCTATGGTGAAGTGGTTTAAAAGCCACTAATTGGTTCAGTGTCTCAGAGACCACAGTCGGCAGTTCCTGATGGCAGGAAACCTTAGGTTGGGGGAAGCAGGTTAGTGGAGAGGAGTGGAAAACACCATCAACCTTGAAAGTGTTTTCAAATCTTTACCCAAAGCAAGAGGAGTCCGGAGAGAGTCTTATTTATTTATACTTGGTGCTTGGGAATCATTGTTTGCTGATTTCCGGTTCTGTTTCTCCAAGAAACAGAAACATTTTCATAATCTGTTTCTCCAAGCCCCTGCCTGCACTTCGCAAAGGAAGAGATAAGAGTCCAAGGAAAGGAAAATTATAGAGTGAACCTTAGTCCAGGTCATCTTTCTCTGTCCAAAACCTCTCACTCACTTTTTCCCCTCCTGAATATTCTGACGTTTACCTTCTTAAGACATGAATCAGCATGTCCATGCTTCTGCCTGTCTTTTGTACTTAGAATAAAATGCAAATCCTTGAATCGAACTAAAAGGTATCCTTCAATCTGCCTCTCACCTCTGTCCAACTGCATCTTGCTGTACTTCAGGCTCACTTCACTCCAAACACACTTGTCTTTCAGTTCCTAGAATCTGGAGTAGCTTTTAACCACCCAAGGGCCTTGCACTCTTGGCGGTCCTGTGGTTACCGACCCTCACTTCCCCCTCCTGCACCTCTTCCCATGGCTGTTCTTTCCACTTCCTTAAGTTTCAGCTTAAAAATCTTCCCTCGCCACTTTATTTAAAGCAGGTTCCCCTCAACTTTTATTCTCTATTGTCACTCTGCTTATTTCTTTCATTCCTTTTTTAAAATCAAATTGATGACCATTTTCTTGTTTTTTGCCTGCCTGTCACTCAGAATGTAAACTCCATGAAGATGGGGACGTTATCTGTCTCGTGCACAAGAGAATAGTGCTGAGTCCCTGGCAGGTGATAGGTAAATATTTGGTGAATGAATAGAGAGACCTGGAAGTCGATCCCTACATCTACAAGGACTAAATGTGATTAAATAGGTATGAGTTCCTCTTGAGACTTTTGAGAAGCACAGCTTTTCTTACAGCAGAAGATGCTAAAGTTCATGTTTTAGAGGGTCTTAAAGGTAGGGATCAGTAAAACATAAATCTATTTGAAGTCTGGATGGCTAATGGTGACGATAAAACACGTCAGGGTCTAGAAAAAAAGAATTTCCTAAAATATATATTTTCTAGTATATGAGAGATCATTTACTCCCCCACCCCCACCCCCACCCCCTACCCCCCAAACTGTTCATCTGCCCTTGGTCTCCATCTCAGCAGTGATGCCTCCACTTTGGTCCCAAACCAGAATTCTAGATTTTATCCTCATTCTGTCTTCCTTCTCTCCTTCCACATCTACTCCTGTTTTCTTTGGCTGTGTAACAAATCACCCTAAAATTCAGTGGCTATAAAACAATAAACCTAGTAGCTTAAAGCAGCAATGTATTGATACTGTTATCTCTTATGGTTCTGTGGGTTGAATGGGCTCAGACGTGTGAGAGTTGTTTGGGGCTGGGGCTGGGGTCATCTGAAGGCTTGAGTGTCCTGGACATCCACAATGGCACTCATGTGACTGACTGTTGACACCAGCTGCTGGCTGGGGGCTTAGCTGGAGCTGTCAACCAGAGCAGCATCGTACATGTGACTTCTCCATTTGGCTTGCACTTCTCAAAGTATGGCAGTTGCAATTGTAAGAGTAGAAATTCCAAGAAGCTAGAAATTAAAAAGTAGAAGCTGCTGGCCTCTTAAGATCTGGACCTGGAAGCTGCCACAGTGTTCCTTCTGTTCACTTCTTTGGTCACAGTCATTATGGAGCACACCCAAATTCAAGAGGAGCAGCTAGAACCCAGCTGAAAGTGTCAATGAATCTGTAGCCACCTTTAGTTGGCACAATGCCCCATTATGTTCTGGCCATTCCACCTCATAACAAGCCCTCTAGGAACTTCCCTGGTGGCTAAGTGGTTAAGACTCCATGCTCCCATTGCAGAGGGCCTGGGTTCAATCCCTGATCAGGGAGCAAGATCCCATGTGCTCTAACCAAGAACCCACCCTTGGCAACTGAGACCCGGCACAGCCAAATAATTGTTTAAAGTAATTTATTTATTTTAGCTGTGCTGGGTCTTCCTTGCTGCACGGGCTCTACTCTAGTTGTGGCAAGCAGGGGCTCCTCTCTAGTTGTAGTTCATGGACTTCTCATTGCAGCGGCTTCTTTTGTTGCAGAGCACAGGCTCTAGGGCACACGGGCTTCAGTATTTGCGACATGTAGGCTCTAGAGCACAGGCTCACTAGTTAGGTGCATGGGCCTATTTTCTCCATGGCCTGTGAGATCTTCCCGGATCAGGGAAGATCTGTCTTCTACTTTGGCAGGCAGATTCTTTACCACCAAGCCACCAGGAAAGCCCCCCAAATGAAACTTTAGAAAAAACAAAGCCTTCCAGTCCCTTCTCTTCATCCTCAAGGCCACTACCCTAGTACCAGCCACCATCAAATTCTCTCCTAGATAACTGCAAAAGCTTCCTTCAGTTCAGTGGTTTCTATATTATAACTCAAGTGATCTTCTTGGAAAGTGACTGAGTCAACCATGACTTCAAAATCTTTCACAGATCTCCATGGCTCTCAGCATAAAGTTCAAATGCCTGGTCATTTCCTAAGAGGAGCCTGAGTAACCTGGCCCTCAATTACCTGGTCAACCAAGTCATCACCCCAGCTCTCCTCCACCATTTTTTCTGACCCATGGCTCTATCGGTCAGTTTCCAGTCACAAAAACAGAGCTGCTCTAGGTATTTTGAACAGAGGCAGTTAAATATAGGGAACTAGTTTCAAAACTTATACAGACCAAAGGAGCAAAAAAAGGTTACCCAGAGGTGAGGAAGCGCCTGGAGCACTAGGCTGGAGCAGGAGGGTAGTGTGTCACCTGAGCCTGGCTCACGGTGGCCAGACCATCTGGCTGACTCGGCACAGTTACTGATTACGACCGCTGCAGAGCCACTTTGCC